GCTATGCTGAAGTCCATCAAAGCATTATTTCTGTAGCAGAACCTGAAAATATGTGTTCCTTGGCTGACCAGTGCTGAGATACTGAGTGAGGTGAGGGTGGAAAGCTCACTGGAACAGAGCTGGAGGAATGCAKAAGGCGAAACAACCCAAATCCAGAGCAGTTTCTCCCTTACAATGTTTCACTTGCTGTGCCTGGAACTGCGATTCTGTTTAATTGYGTACAGGAGTTGGTTCACAGACAAAGAAAACCCAAGAGCCAGATAATTTTCAAGAAATTTGGACACCGAGACCACCAGGAGAAGAAGGAAAATGAGGATCTGTGTTTAACAGTGGTAGAAATGCACCCATATGGGTTCTGGCTCTCATATCTCACCAATGCTCAATTTCTGAAGTCCCAGTGACAGGATTTGGTTCCTGGGAGAGCAACTATTGGCAGAAAAGAACCAGTTGGAGAGAAAAATAAACTAAAATTCAACCAAACACCTTGTAGTAGCTCCATTCTTTGGTTTTCTGTGTTTAGCAAAAATAAATTGGGTGATAAAATTTAATCTGCATGAGAATAAGGTAGAAAGAAAGGGGTGCCTGTACCACATATGCCCAGTGGCTCTCTAATAAGATGAAGATAACCCAATTTCAGGATGTGTTAATATTTCAGTACAGACTTCTGCTTTGAAAGCATTCAGAAAACAAATGACCAGGTAGAGGGCTGTGCAGAGTAATTTCCCTTTTAGAAAGGGCAATTAAAAGTGCAGTAGCCTTATCTCCTCACAACTCAGATTGTTTTAGAGCCACAGGACAAAAAATATTACTGAATAGACTTTCCGAGGGATTGGTAGAAATCAATATAATGTATCTTTTGTGTTAAATGCCTTAGAATCCATTTTCTTCAATATAAATACATTTATAATATCCCTAATGCTGATAAAATATCATCTTGATAATCTATTCAAACACCTAAGAGACTTCAGTTTCTGTTCTGACACGCTCTGAATTTCAGTTTAAAAATGCATTTTGGTTTAACTGTCATCAATAGCCTAATGCAATCTCAAAGAAACAGGCATAGGCTATTCAAATATGTTTCCAATATAACTTAGAGATTGTCAGACAAAGAAAAAAATAGCTTCCCAGTTAAAGACATAAATGTCAAGAAATAAGAAGAGGGAAAAAAAAAGTGTGCAAAATTCTGATTTTTTTTATTACATTTTTCTGGTATGGGTCAATTAATCATAAACCATCATAATTGTAATAAAAATGCTCTACAAAGCACAGTTAAAAAGCATGACTTAGTTCATCAAGATCTAAGAGGGTCTTTCTTTGCTGTTGAAATTTTAATTATTCACTCTTTCAATATTCATAAGTCACCTCATTCTTTAAATTGTGAGGTGAGCCACACAATCAAGAGATTTAGCAGTAGGACAGACAGGAAATTTAGGGTGCTTTCCTGTATTTATGCATTTTATTTTGTTTTCCTGTGTTTGAAATTTTGCAATAAAAGTATCTCTCCGCAGTCTAAAGCCCTGCTGTCATAAAAAATGAAATTCTTATGGGCATGTATGACTTCAGTATATGAAAACTTGTGAACTATGCCAGGTATTTGAAATCTCAAAAGGGAATTATGTGCTATGGCTGCTGATTGTTATTAGAAAATGGAGTGTTTAAACCAATATTAATAATAGTTATGATACATCTGAATAGCTCACTCACYAGTAAAATTATCTTTACAGTCACTTCTAACCCAAACCATTCTACRATTCCGTGAAATCTCAGTTGGTCAACTAGGACACCACAKAATAGTTTACAAACACAATTAAATCCATTTAGATCTTTGTTTTTAAGCTCAGATCAGAAATTTCAACCTGTCCTTTTCAACAAGTTAATTTTGCAAAAAGCTGTGATACTTCAACCTTTTTATTCCTTCTCCTACCCAACACTACCAAAGCTTAGGATGAGGTCAGTTTGCAAGTACCCTGGATATTCTTAAACTTTCACAGTAAACAACATTTTGGCAGCAAACAATTTTTTTTTTTTCAAATCTCCCCATTTTGTAGAAAAGCAAAAATTACAATATCAGCCCAAAGGCCCATTTGTGCTGTCAGTAATATCCCTGTGTAAATGGAGAAGTCTGGACTTGAAAGAAAAATGTTTGTATAAGACATCGATACTTTTCTACTACAAAAATATTTGAAAGCCTTGCAATTGTCTTTTTTGCCTCTTTTGGCCCTGCAAAGGTCATACTCAGCAGCCTGAGAGACACAGAGAAGCTGTGGCAATTTTCCTTGAACAAGAGATGCGGTTCTGATAGCGGGATCACAAAACTCGGTAGTTTCATCACCCTTTCGGATGCTTGTAGGAGTTCCTGTTCATCAAAAGGGACCTTTAAATTGATGATTATTCTGTGTATTTCCTTCCTTACTAAGCATTTTATGATCAGCCCTTGGGTTGTTTGGGTTTTTTTTTTGCTTAGGACCAAATTTTTTTGCTTTTGTTTAACTTGTGAGTAGACCTTTCCATGAGAACAAGAAATTTCTAGATCAAGATCAAGATGTTAATTTTTGTCTTGGGTAGCTCCCTTATGTTCTACTTGTTTACTCCAAATATTGCCTCTTATAGAATAATTAAGGTTGGAAAAGACATGTAAAATCAACAAATCCAATCATCTTTCCATCACTATTCTTAGCGACACAGCTATAGGCTAACTGAGGCTCTCTTGGCATTAATAGCAATGAGTTCATATGTTTTCTATGTGCACTTTGAATTTCCTTTTCCCCTCCTCTAAATACTCCCAAAGAGATAACCTTCAAATCACACTGAGTACCTCTTTCTCCAAGAGTCTGGGAGGGAATTACAGTTTTGAAAAATGGCAAATTGTTTTAMATTAATTATGATATCTTGAAGGCTTCTTGGCATCCATCAAGATCATAAGATATKGTGGGAGCTCCCAAAGGAAACAAAACAAGTTTATTGAGGAAATTCCTTTKCAGGASCTGTGATCATAGGACACCTCCCCATTTGGAAATATCCAGAAATTYGAAAATCAGAAGATTGTRGAAACCATAAGGAATCTGATCACCKGCAAAGCAGAAGCTTTGCAAAACAATGGGGTGGGAAACATTCCCCATTTCAAGCTGAAGCTTTTAACATACTTTGTATTGAGCTGCTTCCAGAATGAAAATGTATAGTAGATTTCTTGTCAGGGTGGTGCCCAGCTTCAGTTTCTAGGTAATAAATCTTGTGTTCTTTGACTCTGCTATATTGAGTTGAAGTCTTATGTATTACTCCTCTAACTGAGGAAACCTGCTGAGGTTCTTTGGCTGCTGCTGAGGTTTGTAGAAGAGATGTCCTGTGAGGAGAGATGGTCACTCTTCTTAAGTACATACAGTTGGCAGGGTAGTATTCAAAGACTGGATTTGATGATTTTGGAGGTCTTTTCCARTCCTAATGATCCTATGATTTTATTYCTGTCCAGAACCACAGATGATAGCCCATGAAAACCAATGTAATTCCAGTTATATACRTATTACGAGCTAAATGTTTGTTCTACTTATATATTTGTATAAGAGGGCTTTTCCCCTTACAGATTTCTTTACTTCARCACTGGTAAGTCCCTGCAGAGTGCAGCCGAAGATGATATTTTTCAAATGAGCAGCAATAAAAATTCCCCATAGCAAGTTTAAATCCTGATAATGGTGCACTTTTATTGCATTGTACTGAACTTTTACCAATCAGTCCAATTATGGGCTAATTCATTCTCATCACTTTGGAAAGCTTTTTTTTTTTTTTTTTTTTTTTTTTTTTTCTGATTTTTATCTGATTTTTTGGCGTGTGAAATGCTTACAAAGGGAAGTTAATAAAAGAGCGGTTCATCTGCATATACAAAGGAAGATCATAATATAAAAAATTGCCACATTAGAGAAGTCTAGACCTTGACTATCTGTCATATATTTTTATAGCGCCTTATCGCTGCGCTATCTGATTAAGTAGTGAAATGGTTAAGATAAATGAGACTTAATTAGCGGAACTGATACCTGTCTATTGCCAGCCTTCAATTTGCATCTGGGAGCTCTGATTTTCAGAAGGGAAGCGCACGCCTGCAGTCCTGCTTCCCTTTGAAATCTATGGGAGTTTTCCCCGCAGTGAAAACAAATGCTCCAGGWTTCACCCAGAGCCAACTGAAACTTTTGCTGTCTAACTCATCCCTTTGAATAATGAGCTAAAACATGGGGAGACAAGARAATACCAGGGCTCTGAGATGGAGGGAGAAGAGGAAGTGCTTAGACTTGACTTCTAACACATCAGGCTGCAGAGCTCAGCAGCCTGCAGAGATAAATAAATTGTGTCAGGAAGAGAGCTGGTGAAGATTATTTTTGCTCTGTCACAAAATTGACCAAAATTTGGCTTGTATTTTTTATTTCCTTCTATTTTTTTGCATCTTTGCTTGTGGAGCAAAGTATTTACATTTGAGCTCAGGGATTAGATGGCCAGTTGCCATTGGTGTCAACTATTCCAGTAGGAATGGGCTGCAGCATAACTTCCCCACCAAATGCTCCCTGCTCAGAACAAACGATTTACCACAGAGCCCAGAGATGGGGTATTTACATTCATTTAAGTTTGGTATAAACATTTACAGAACATTAGGACAAATACCAGCATTCTCAGCTAAATGTCTGACCACAATTATTTCTGATGAATAAATGGCCCTGTAGAACGACTCTGAGATGAGAGGCGTTTTTTCTTTCTTTTCTCCTCTCAAGCCAAACAACTTTGAAAAAAAACAGTGCAGCATGCAGCTAAACACACTGTGCAAAGGTTCACGTAGAGTTAAGGAAAACCATAGATGTTTGTGAGATTAGGGAGTGAATATCTAGATTAAACCAGTTTATGTTGTCCTTCATCTGCTGTTCTGTTTTTTCCCTTCAAAATCTCACCTTCAAATCTGACCCTGACAGACATGCCTGGTTCAGTAAAGATGTTTTGTGCTGACCAAGGACTTTTTAAACCAAACATTGTGAGCTGGCCACTGCAAAGGTGCTTTTCCCACTGGAAATGGTGGCATGAGGGCTGTTGATTACAGCATAAGAAACTATTTACTAAATATTTCTCAGGGGCTGCCGGCTGTGAGAATAAGGGAGCCACTCAAAGGTACCTTAGAGCTGTCTAAGTGTAAAGTGCATATTTTCTCAATGTTAGCACAACAAGCTAATGCATTCTTCATCACTCTTTTAATTATTATTTTTGTTTTATTTATAATTGTGCCACAGAGAAAAGTTGCAGATGCAAAGATTTCTTTGGAATTTGTGGAGTTTTTCTGCTCATGATCAATTAATCTTCATAAAATCATAGAATCATTAATGTTGGAAAAGAACTTTAAGATCAACCCAACCATTAACACA